CCGGGTGCAATGAATGCGACGACAGTTTCAAGGGCACGCCTCAGGTGATGACGTACACGCACCCCACTGCCACCCACCGGCTCCCGCGGGTGTTCCGGCACCCACCTAATAATGCACGTCTACGCCCTGTCTGCCGCGTCCGCACTCGTTGCAACCTTGAGTGCTCTCGGGAACACCCCCATTCGCATTTAACTGGTGAAAAACAAGTGTTGCACTTCAAAGGCTGTGATCAACTTAACTAGCTAAATGAAATGGTTTCCCGGTTTAGGAGGGCTTCAGGTCACGTTGATTGAACTCGAATACAAATTAGTGGATGCCTGTGGAGCACTATCGATCGCGGCGAACTGGTCGCCACCGCGCGCACGTCACTTTGGCTCGTCACCCACTCTATAATTAAGTTGCACATTCAGTATCACGTTGATAACTCCCTAATTCTCGTAATAATAGTGGAGGCGTACGGGCGGGGTGGCGGCCCCGTCAGCTGAGCGAAAACGAAAGTAAATAGAACTCGGTCAAAGGGTTCGTACTCACCTACTCGCAATATTTATGTGGGTACTAGGGGGGTTAACTCACACCCTATTCAGTCGCCTTCCTTTGATGGATGGTTGGCGACTGGCGCGAACGTTCGACTGAAACTCGCCCGAACTCGAATGCCAGACATTAGTCTCAATTTCCTACTATACTCTCTTTACCAAACTTGTTCCACAAAATTATTATTCAGCGGTAGTTTCAGGCACTCTTAAGTGTTTTGTTTAAGTCGTCGACGTCGTACCACCCAACCCGCTTTTAACTCCTTCAAAGTTATTGCACTGCTATAAGGAATTTGTATGCCAAAATGTTCTGTTTGTTATGTTACTAATAATTTAATTTTTGGAAAGTTGTAGCAGGCATATAACTTTGTCCATAAACATTTAAATCTTATTGAAACGTTATCTAAAAATTGTATATATTTCACGGCTAATCCCAGAGGTGTAGCAACAACAGCATCGGCAGTAATCACTAGTTCTGACGAACCTAGAGAGGACTCACGTGCGTAACGTCAGCAAGCCTCTGGGCAGGAGTGGCGACGGCTCGTTAACCCGTCACTATCAAATCACTGCCGGCACATGAGCTGTAGCATACCCAATTACGGCTTCCAAGAGAGCAGAAAGCTAGATATTTTGGTGAACGAATATATTGTTCTATATATAGTGGTATTAGTTCTATACATCATTCGCTGTTTTAGCAAAATCATAACAGATATTACTTGCATTGAAAGGAAAAGAGTAACGAGTCGGTTTCATCAGTTAAAAAGCTAAACAAAAAATTTTCACGCTCACAATGAATGAGTGTTAAATAACAAGATCGTAATAATGGCATTTATATTTCGAATGTGTAAACAAAAAGAACAACACGTAATAGGTACCGTTACATTATTAAATACCTACCTCATAAGGATGTAATTGTTCCATTATCAAGAGCAGTATATACGTAATAGGTAGTTAGGTCGAGAACACATGACAACTCGTTTTATTCAATTATCGCTAGTAAGTGGGTAGAGGGGGAAATATGAAACGTGAATGACTCCTCTTGACCTGAATTATGTAAATATCAGGGCAGGCTTATCTACAGCCTTGGGACGTGACGCGGAAACTGGCTGCGGAGCGAAAGCATTGAGCGATTGATGCAATCAACACCGTCTATGGTGTTTGCAGTGATCTATGTCGAGGACGGACAGTATATCTGGCCTTACATGCGCTCAGTTGTTGACATGCAACTAACGATTCAGTCGAATTAAACTATGACTGCTATCGAACGAACTTTTGTTTATATCGATGGTTGAAATTTAAATGTCGTAACGGACATTTTGTCGTAAGGGTAAATGACGTTACGACAATTGAAATGTCCTAAGAGACATTTGTCTCTTAGGACATTTGAATTTTCCACTGTTGATATAAGGGTAATAATTTTATCGATGTATCGATTTTTGAAATGTCGTAAACGATATTTTGTAGTAAGGAACATTGTCTATTACGACAAAATATTCCTTACGACATTTCAAATTTTCATTATATTTACATACGTTTTTTGACATGACGCTGTAAAGGAATGATTTTATATTTACATTCTGCTTGCGCTTCGTCGATTGAGAGAAGCAATTTATTGTCAAATTGAAGACACAAATTTCTTGCAGTACCGTATTGAGAGGGTTGTTCCACATAAAAGCCCATTGCTCGGCGAATCGCGTACCAAACTGTATCGGCACAGAGCGGTATCCGTTAGTAGTGCTTTTCCGTGCTCTTTATTGCAGGCAACTATATGTACATCGATGCATAGATGTGTTGCGGTGCACTCGTTGGCAAGTAAACGGGTGTGCATAATGGATGCACGGTCAAGGCCGACCGTGGCCGTCGACCTGCTCTGCACGTGTCCGATTGTTTTGCACTAAGTACTTCATCCGTGTGCGCGTTGCGTAGGCCTCGGTAATCGCTAGATTAATGTTGCTAACTGCGAGATAAGTGAAAGCATTGTGTATCACTGCTGCGCTCTTAATGCTGGTAAAAACTCACTGCACTACTCATGAAGTGAAAATAGGTTAAAATATGAACTCCAAACATAATAAATAGTCATGGTAAGTATATTAAAATACTTGTGCAAAAATAGGAACACATTTTTATGCGAATTTACTCTGTGTGTGTAAAGGTACAATATAAAATATCAGGTTAAATCCAAGTGGCTTTCGTTATAATACTCGAAACTTGATTTTAAAATAAATTTAATATTTAATTTTTCGTTATTAAACCAGTTTCAATATAAGATTGTTTGTATGGCTTTCTGTGAATTACATCGCTAGATCAGTAGCTATTTACCGCGTTTCAGCAAAGTTTAAGAGCAGTGTTTTAAGAGTACATTAAAAAGGTAATTAGAGTGGGCATGTTCGCGAGCTCACAGTCACGGCCAAGGACACGCGCTTTGTCGAGTGTGATTAATTGAGCGTTCTCATTTCGACTCTGACCCCATTCGCAAAACTCTAATCGAATCTACCTATTCGATCGCGCCGTCATCGTCCTTCGTTAGCTGTGTTAGCTACCCTAAACCAGTTTTAATTATTTGCAGTACAACAGTCCTTGCTGACCCTGGCGACGATTCGTGTGATGGGGAAAAAAATGCGTAAAAAAAGACCTGCTGGTAAAGCGTTTAGTACGATGATTCTTAAAGCGGTCCACATCGACACCAGGAGTCCACTCCCGTCAATAAAAGGTCCATGTCAGCGAAAGCAATGTGAAGTTAATGGGGTTCCACGAGAAACTAAATTTTGACTATCCACAAGTGACTATGTACTTACTTACGTAATACTTTCTTATAATAGACATAAATTACTTTGAAATAAACATTTCACAACAAACAGCTATATTCGGTTTTAAATGTAGATAACTTAATAAGTTTTTGAAGTTTCTCACTCTACAGTTAAACTTATCAAAGTGAATATAGTAGGTACTGTGTTAGCCGTTAAAAACATATTTAAAGTTGATGAATTTGAAAAAAAGTCCATTTTAGAAATACAGGGTGTTTTCGCAAAACAGAAAAAATTGTCACGTAGTCTACGAGACAAAAAAGTTTGGGAACCTCTGGTCTATATTCACTTACTCTATCGACTTGCAGAAGTTCACCGTTCAACTTCCGACATGGTTGTTGTAATATCTAACGTTTAGTGCTCTCGTTAAAGCTTCGTTAAAGAACAACCGCTTGACAACTTCGAAGTGCAACTTGCGATTAATAACGTTCAAACACTTGCAATAGTCAAACAGTTTAACAAACTCTCATTCCGTGAACTACCGTACCTTGTCCCACCTTCAGGATTTGTAGTACTTACGGAATGCTTATTTTTATCGTAATAATATTTTGTTATGTGCAAGTTTTGAAACATTTTCTTTTATCAATAAACGTTCCTACAGTTGAATAATAATTTTACCAACAATGTGATTCAATAATCGTTCTCCATTGTAAAAAGAGTTTTACACAATAGAATCAAACCTACATGATACTTACTGCATTGTATGTTATCTACCGATGTGTATTAAATTGAAATCCAATTGTGTTTAACATTTCTTTTTCTTTTGTTTGTATTATTTATTAGTAGTGATCGGAATAGGTGGAGTATATTTACCTAAACTTCGAGGAACAGAGACATAAAGTGGAAACTACCTTACAACAAAAATTTTTTATTCCTGATTTTTTCGGGATTCGGGAATTCATTTAAATACATTAAAAATTGATTTTATTTGGGATAGGTAGGTAGACTATATTTGTCTATAGTTCGCGACGAATAGTTGCAATCACCTATTTGTCGGAATATTTAGGAAGTTCCGCCAAAAAATCTTACTTAATATGTGTATCAGAATGATTATTTATATGTATTTCGAACATACTGTTGTTTTATGGACATTCCTCCGGGATCCTAAAACTATCGCTTCGACTTTACTGGCCGTATTCTAGAACTCTACTCAATGCTCAATTCAGGATTTGAGTATGGTTTCAAGCACTCGAAATCATACTCAAGTGCCTGCCATTAGGGTCGTATTTCCAGTACTTGTGTGACTTGAGCATTGAGTAGAGTTCTAGAATACGACCCTACGTATAGTCAAGTCAGAAAGTTAAAACGTATACCCGGGACTACACAGAGTTGACGCAACATCTCGTTGCAAATTTCAGACGAATGCCTACCTATACTACCTACCTATCCCATATACATTTTTGAAAAATTTCTAGAATCAAAAAAATCCGGGTCAAAAAAATGTCGTAAGTTAGTCTTTCTACTTTTCTCTTTGGACTTTCTGTCTCTGTTCCGCAAAATTGAGGGATGTATCCACGTTTTAAAATTGAAATATTGTAATAAACGCAATAATGTTTGTAGTTAGCATTTTGCATATTAGATACTATATTACTTTAATAATATATTTGAGCAAGAACTTTATAGGTTTTTCGCCGACAAACATTTTGCAGCAAGTTATTTGTTACAGGGATACGAGCGCGGTGGTTCGCCCCAGCCACCAAACCAGCCCTCGGGAGCGCCCAGCCCGGGGGCCCAGCCAAACGCCCCTGGGCCCATGTCCCCCACGCAAGACGGACAGCACGCGCCGCACTTGCAACACCCTAACCAACCATTACCTCACCAGGTACCAACCATTATTGATTTGAGTGTTTCGTAATGTAATTTGGAGAAGGTTCAGAATGACCGTATACATTTCATATTATCTATTTATTGCGGTTTGATGCAGAATTACACATCGTATTCTTGACTAAGACGATAACAAAACATCATTTCGTTTTATCCCAAAATACACACAGACCGATACATTTAGCGAAATACTAGTAAACTCTCCAAAGTAATGCAATGTCTTTTTCAAAACTCGGTTATTTTACTTATTTTATATATTATTTTACATCTAATTTTTAAATAAAGAATTAGGCGATTGCCATTTCTTTAATAAATTTATTTTAGTCTCCTATTAATACAAGCTGTCGAGTGGTTCGAGGTTGATTTTGCGTTCTTTTAAATTTCATAAATGTTAGTTGAATTTAATTTTCTTTTTCTTTTATTTTTAATCTTTTTTTATTTAGGGGCTTTGATCATTATTGAACATGTCAGACCCATTAGAAAAACAATACCGAAAAAAAAACACTTAATAAAATCCAGACCTACCAAACATGTATACAACATCTTCACTGCACTACATGTTGGCTCCCATAAAACAGGTTGAAACCACCCCACATTAAATGTACGGAAACCAAATTTCCATTTAATGAATTACAAACTGTTTATTATTATATTAACAACAGTGTCTGCTTCTGCGTCTGTTACGAAAACTAAAAAGAAGTTTTGTTTAATTTCGATTTTTTTTTCTATGGAATTTAGTAAGGCTAAGACGATGTTAAAAGGTGTTAATTTAATTGCTACTTGCGCTAATTTTTATTTATTTAAATATAAATGTTACTATTATATTCTCACTTTTGTATTCCCTTAAATGTGCCGATGTGTCTATTTCTCAATTGATTGTTTCTCCGGCCTCTTCCGGATCATATAAGCGATTTGGTCGTTTTAGCTAAATATAGTATTAGTAGGTTCAAACATCGAATGTTATACAATTCATCTATTTTATTATTGACATAATATTGTAAGCAAATCTTAACCGTATATTGCGTCTTTTTCAGATATGGAAATGTCTACAAAGTAACTGTTGAAAGTGTAACATAATATGTATCTGAAGATTTTGTAATAACGTGATCATAACGGTGTTAGTGTCTCCTTCAGTCATTATCTCTCGCCTTTAGATACGGCCGGGTCGGAGCTGTGCATTACGTCACCCTCCATTAGTGTCAACGGCGCCACCTTAGCTTCAAAGCTGTTTTCAGCATGCACGACGTTGCCACGAAATATTAGAGCAAATTTTATTATATGTATCTCGTCGTTTACTAACTTATAACTTACACGCTTCGATTTAGACGATTCTGTTAATAAGAACATGCGAGGATGTTTTTCAATTCTTATAATTGCATAATTTTTAACCCGAGCCGGTGTAATGAGCAAAATGCTGTAAGAGTATTGGATTGAAAGGAGCAGTTGTAGGGAAATGATACCAAGCTTTATAAGCGGCGTCATGTTTGCATTTCGTTTATCGCTCATATCGCGGCAAGGCGGCGCCGGTGGCGGAAATTTTCGATAATTTCGGCCGAGTCGACTGCTCCACCCGACATACGTTTGTGCCACAAGATAGCTCCGCGAACCGGCAGATAGATAAACGGCTACTTGAAAATAAAGATGTCTATTTTAGCTGTAGTTCGCGTGTACATAAACGTTAGCCGCTATATTTGTAGCACCGGATGGCTACATAAGGTAATTGGGTAAGGGAAGGGTACGAAGGACCTTCGCTCTTGAATGCACAAGATAAGCCTCTATAAACGGGTCGGTCAGAATGATTTTGTTGCTAAAGAAAATGCGTTAACTGTACACCGGGTAAATAAATATTCATTTTATATTTCCATTCCTATAAAGTTAAGTAGCGTGCTGACTGGCAGTTACTGTGAAGTATATTTTCATCTAAAATGTTTTGTTACACTTGTATTTGGATAGAGCGTCAGCACGAGCGTAGATAGGAATCTGTATAGCTTTAGCGAAATTGAACCCGCTCTATATGGAAAGTATAGTAATCCACGAAACTCGGTAGATGGAACTTCGGCTATGAACTTTACTGTTATCGCTAAACATTAAACTGCTTCCGAATGTACGGAACCCTCGTTGTTAGCAATTTTTAAAAATTACCTTCCCGACCATAACTATTTCAATAAACCGTCTATGGTCATACCCGTCCTAATGGACGACTTTTGCTATCCAAAGTTTGGTTTGATATTGTTTGCCAGTTTTTATGTGCTATAATAATAGAATCGCTGGAATAACATTTTTTTACATTGGTTATATTAATTTCCATAGATTAATAAGTTAATATTGTTGTGGTCAAATGACGCGGGTTGTTAACGCCTGATTATGCTTTTTGGAGTATAACTTTGTTTCTATTCTTTCATAAAATTTGGAATATCGGATCACGAGCAACGCTGTAACAAGGAAATAAATCAATGTCGTTATTTGTTTAATAAATAGTTTGGCATGCTTTATTAAGTAAGATGCCTTTGAAATTGATCTTATTGACGCATTGTAATAAAGTAAGCGAACGACATAGCAATACGTCATAGTGCAGGCAGCGATCAAAATTTGAGTTTGAACGTTCGATATACGGTTTTTGGCACGCTGAGTTTGTCACGATTAGCATATTTTTTATTCCCGCTTTCCAGTCGTATGGCTTGCACGTGGTTCCGGCCGGTTGCTTCGTGTTTTCTACAGCGCCCTATGTTGGTCAAAACTCATTGTTGATAACCATACTGACGGCACAAACTCACTACAATTTGCTTTAGTTTGTTTGCATTTACTTCGGAAACTTACTGTGTCCGGACAGAATTACTTTAAAAAAAATGTTGTTTATTTTCTTTACCTGTAAATACTCCAGTTACTCTCAAGAAAATGCGCTAAATGTATTTCAAACAATTGTTACCTATCACTGGTACAAAGTTGGGGAATATAAAAAAGAAGCATTTCAAATGTGATATCTTCCAGTGCTTACAGGAAAGTGTTCTGAGAAAAGAGCGCGGCGCGGGGTGCAAAAATTAAACGTCAGTCAGCTATCACGTAACCGACGGAGCAAAACACTCCGACCCTCCGGGAGGGAGCGTCTTCTGTCGATTCTACTCGCGCGCCACTTCCAACTAAACGCCCCGCCACTCCAATTTATGCTACCTTAAACGTTAGTCGTTCCATTAAAGTTTTCTTTTAGCCGCAACACTGCTACTTTTCTGTAATGTCCATAAAATACTTTTTGTTATTTTATCAACTTCAAATTTAAGTTGAAAACATTAATACGTTCTAGAACTTGTATTCAATTATTTATCATCACTATCTCAATCTTTTTAAAAGCTATACTGTGGCAGAGCATGAAGTGAACACAGAAGTTTTATTCTCGTATCAATGCGATCTAGCGCGGCAACATAAATCTAAACTCCATTTGAGGTTCACAAAACTCGTGGCAAGCGACGCGCGCTTAATACTCCACGATGTCAGTGGAGAATTTTGAGAGTCAAGGGCCATTCCATCGTGATCGCTCGAGAGTCGTACAGCCGAAATGAAACGTCGTATCTTATTTTATGATTAGCGGCTCGAAAGCGCTTTGTAATTTTGTTAGTTCCGCCTTTCTGGTGCTGGGGGCGAGCTCAGTGAGTGGAGATCGATGCAAGCGTTGCGTGCGAGTGCGAGCGGGAGGCCACGCTAGCTGCTTGTTCCGTCCCTGTCACTCGAACCGCCTACCAGGCAGCCATGTTGTGCTCGACCTGCGCTCGCCCGACCGCCATTGTAGCATTTGTAGCTAGTGATGTTACCTATTCGACTCGATATCACTGCGCTACAACTTCGATCGATGTTTCTACCCAAGCGACCGTTTATTTCTGTCTCCGCTAGTTTATTTCTACTTGTCAAAGAAGTTTAAAAAACAACATAAGATTTGTGTTTATTTCTTCAATAATGTTGTAAAATTGCAGACAGATTATTATGCAATTTAAAATTCGCGTGGTTCGTGTGTACATTGTTTAAAAATGTATTCATCTACAATCGAGCACGATATAATATGAGGCGTCCTGAGTAGGGCCTGTCATACTTCAATCAAATAGAGAAGTAAAAATGTCGATAAAAAGTGTTGTCGATATAAAAGGCAAGAACGTACAGTGGACTTATAGCCACGGCTCCGGAATTAAAATGTCAGACGTGCCGCAGCGCGGACGAGTGTGGGGTTCGCGCGGCATAGGGGGGACGGGGGGGACCGGCGTTATTAATAACCATAAGCCAGCAGACGCACGAACGTCCAGAGGGGCCCTGCCAGCGTGCAGTAATGAGGAATCACTAATTACATTTTACTGGACTGTACTACCATAACAACGTTAATTACTCTACATCGCCATGTGCAAAGCGCTGTGCTATGCTTTAAAGAAAGACAATCGATGCAGTAGTAAAAGCCCCATTTTTTATTTATAGTCAGATTAGGTAATAGGAGGCATCATGATGTCGCAAGCAATCACTTTGTTTGAAAGCAGCACTGGCGCTGGATATTAGATATCGGGCCTGGACGGAATGACATGATATAAAGGTCTGGCTGGCGGGCACGGTCCGTTTTAATATTCCCCCACAGTAGGCGCGCCGGTTGTGTGCGACAGCTCTACCCGCTCGCTAGCTCAAAGCCGACATCGCCAGTAAAAACTCACTATATTTTATTGTCAAGGAAATATATTTGTCAAAGGCCGTGCGATTAATTGCTTGACTTTTCTGAAGTGCGCCTCGGGGACTTTTTCGTTTAGTCATTTGAATGACACGCTTTTGCATTAATTTTCTTCTATACGTTACGTAGTTTGTTTGTGTACATGTTATTTGTTTATGAACACTATTTTTCTTGATGTGATGGCATTTGAGGAGGTTGACTGTTTCAACCTTTGTCTTGTTATATTTACAATTAAAGGTCTGCACATACTTATCTCTCAAACGCAGGGTATTTACAGTTCCGACCGACTTTATGCTGCAGCATGCGAAAATGGGAGACGAAGAGAACGCGAAACGGGCGTCGCTCTCGCAACAAACTGCAAAATGCTTCGGGTTCTCCGAACTTTTGTGTGGTAACTCCGCTCTCGGCTGGAAATCTGTAAAGCGCTGACTGTGGGGCGTACATTCTCTCTCCTGCGGCGAAGTCACAGCGGCAGGGCTGTCGGGAATTGCCGAGCTGGATAAATTATGCCGCGCGCTCCCTTTTGCAATCTCCGCAAAATAATACAATTGAATTGTACCAGAAGCTTTGTCTTGTTTATTCTGCTTTTCGGCAATAACTGCTTTGATATGTAGTGGTTCGAACTGCGTACCTTCGAATTAAATGTTTTTGACACACCCGCATTGACATGTGTTTTTATTACTTTCCAGCGTCTGCGTCTGTACTATTTCTAATTCGGTAAAGCTGGAGATGGTGACTTTTCACAGAGTCGCGTCAAGTAACTCGAAAATTGGTTTCCAAGTGATTTTTTATTGTAGATCGTGTACACAACCACCACGTGTGTATCAAATGCACAATAACATTCAACAAGAGATATATGTCCCGTAGTTGGAAATTCATTATGAGTTTACAAACAGAGTTGCGCCAGTAGCAGCGAAGGCAAGCGCTGCGCTGTATCGCTTTTCCTCTGAGTTCATATTCAAATTAAAGTCGTTGATATATCTCTACGATATATAGCCGTCGTGAGTAACAGAACTTTTATATTTGATGGTTTCTTGATTTTTAAATATAACACTTAAGTTTTGTGCAGTTTACTCCGATATACCATTTACTTGTGTACGTGTATACAGTGTGTTTATATTACGGGCGGGCGTTAAACTTTCATGGTTAAGTTTTGTGATAATAAACACCCTGGTCGGTTTTATAACTATTTTAGTATATGATATGCATTTAAATGTTTTTTATATGTTTTTTGTTCTGTTTGTCATTTTTTACTTGTATATATCTCTACCGGTTAACAGTAAACATTTTTACCATAACATAAACCCACGCTTATTTAAGTACAATAAAGTAGATCAAATTGTCTCAACGTTTACCTAGACTCTTTGGAAAAATTACGTGTGTTCTAGTAATTTGTGTTCTAGAAACGAAAATAAATTTTTGTTGTTAACAACACTTAAGTGTTTTGTTTGCAATAGTCACTGCATCGTCCTTGGCTATTTTTATCTGTTCCCGGCAAATTAAAATCGAATGCTTTTGGTTAAGCAACCTTTTTAAAAATAACTTTAGTTTTAGTTCAATTTTATACTTGTGAATAGAGGCATGGAGTTGCTACAAACTAACTTGGAAGTTGCTGTCAACAAACACATCGTCGCCGACACTCGCAAACAAACAAAGCATGTAACATTGTGAACACTACAAGTTTCCTCGCATCTAGTGCGCTTCTCTTCACGGACTCATTTAATGTTTATATAGGTATCTTTATTCAAATCTCCTACTTCAAAATTTATTACATTACGCCAGGATTTACGTTCAGCTATTAGAAAATTACACTCTCCCTACATTTTCCCCTGTTGACTCACATCACAGTCTACTTCTATCTTCTGAATTCCTGATAGGCTATTTTTCTAAGGAATGAAATCATAGCTATGCCGAAGTCATTTTAGTACTCGTACCACGGGTTGGTCAGTCGTCAGAGTGTCAGTTGTCACTTGCGATCACGTAAATTATTTTTACAGAAAATGTTAGTTTTCGTGGTCGCCAGGACCGCTGTACAATTTGACTTATTGTCGAACTTTTGTCGCAGTGGTTAGCGATTATTGACGCTATCAAATGCCTAATGTTGCGAAATTGAAAATACTAACGCTTGGGCACTTTTTTCGAGAACGTTCGTGTACGCTTGAACTAAGTGAAACGAATGTTTCGCGAGAAACAATCGGTCCTCGCAACTATAGTAATTACGTACACTGTTCACCCCTACAGCATTTCGTATGAGAGCCCTGCATCACCGTTTGTTTTGTAACCAGAGCAGGAAGAGTAGGGTCGTTTTGTTTTGATTTCTTATCCATCAATATTGTTGTTTCATTCGACTCCAACAATATTAATTACGTCACGAGTACGCGAAGTGGTGGGGTTTGCTTGACCGTATGACGGTAAACAGTGAGAGCATATTATAACAGAGAATTAGTTATGTACATTATGTCACACTATATGCATGTTACAGTTTGGTAAAATACTGTTATAATAGCCATATTTTATTTACTCATTATAAGTGACTCTTCTGAATACCGCCTATTTCTCATCAGCCATAAAACAATATTTATTCTGCATCTACGCTTATGCCGTTGAGCGTTTTAATAGTCTGATGGAAGGATGGGTTTTCTAGTGGCAAAGTGTAGTCTTCGGCGCTTGAACTAACTTCCTAGTGAGTTCTGGAACTTTTTGTCGCGGCCGGTCGTTCCAAATTGCGATTTAATTCGGAGCAAGTCGAGTCTGTAAATAGTTACCTAGCAGCGATTTGTGCCCCTGCTTTACTATCGCAGTTGGTGGCGTCTTTCTTCTTTTTTATTTTTCCGTTTATTAAAAAGTGGGATTCTTGAATCAATACTTGTAATATGTAATACGTATATACATATACTTGTGACATATGTGCACATACACACTTACAATTTTATGCACCAGTAGCCAATTGAAGGCAGAGATGTACTCTTACGAGATATGTCCATGGCCTGTGAATGTTTCAATTAGTCGCTCACTAGTGCAAGCGGGACCGCCCTGAATTACTAAGTAATTATGTGACTGGCGCGAGCCCAAGCCAACTACAATGTACAATTATTTATTAAGGTTCACCAAAATTTTTGCACCACTACTAAAGATAAACAAAATAATGTTCATGTTCATACGATACAGTGTACTTTGCATGTGATATGATCGCTCGTTACACCGACTTTATTGGATCAGTCGTGTACGCCTGAAGCGAGTCGCCGGCTAGCCAATCTGCTAAGATTTAGTTACATCGATCGCTTACTAACGCTTTTATCTCTGTTTTTTGTTCACACTGTAAATACACATTATGTACCTGCTGTGTAGTAAACACGACCCGGTCGTGACGTTTGTCTGATTAACTTCTTAAAAATAACTTCCAACAGGAGCTCAAATAAACTGAAATAATAGTACATTGTGAATAAAGGGCGGTAAATAAAAAATTACTAACGAGAGTTTGTTAGTAGCCCGAAGCCGTCGACTTATGAAGGCTTTAATGATTATTGTACAGTGTATGATAATGTTTTTTTTTTCATAGATAATGCAACTCGAACTAAAATGTTATACTTTTATACACTATTTTATACGCATATGCATTCAGCCACAATGTATTAGAGATGAAATAAATAATATCCAAATTCTAAAAATACTGCTACTAAATTCTAATAATATAGAATTTGAATTTACAAAATAAAATTAGTGAAATATAGTTATATTGCAGTTTTTTTTATACTTCAAGTTTATGCGAAATGTATACGTTTAGATTTATCGAGCATAAAAACTTATTGCTTAATCTTGATTTGAAAAAATCCATGGGGCGATTGTGTAATAAAAAAGCCCGTGTGCATAATTTAAGACCTTACGGTCGACTGTGCCTGCATGTCATGAGACTTTACGAGGAAGTGTGATGAAAATATAACTTACAGTAATTGTGACATTACTTCCAACAACGTTAGTTTTGCGAAATGCGGCAATTTATAATATATGAAATTGCGGGACAATGCACTAATAGCACTCATCTGTTGCAGGGCTACCCTCCCCCTCCCAGGCCTCCGCAGCCGTCCACGCCGAACACACATGATCCAGACTCGGTAAGCAATTCGCATATGCGGCCCTTTCTAAGGCAACGTTAATTTCAGCGCCTAAGACACCAAGTCAGTAAACCAGTATCGGAGAGCTGGTCGTAAACAAGCATTAGCATTTGAATGTATTGAGTACGGACGATCAATCAGTGAGGGGCCACCCGACCCGATGAGTCAAGCCGAGTATTAAAAAGCTATCAGCACAACCACTCGTCTCTTTAATCAGCTCCCACCTTAATGCAGACTTAAACTATAAACTCGCTTTATAATAACACAAGCAAATACGTATTTTGCTAGCATACTGTAAATGACGATGCCTAGTTCAACGCTAATGGCTGTATAAGCAAGTCATATAAATAACAAAGTAAAGCGCGTGTACCACACCTAATGATGCTGTGTTCTAGTTGTCAGTCGCGTTATTATTTTTTCTGAAATTACGCAGTTTTTTCTGAATAATGAAATTTTTAATTTTTTACATAAATATCAACGGTTTTATCAAGCCCTCTTAGCGGTCAATGAATTTAAGAAATTAGATTTTTAGCATGACACGAATTTGAGAAAGTTTTTAAGTGATTAATTGATTAATGTTAATTGTGTTAGGTATAAGGCTGTGTTTTGGAGGTGATTACTGAGTCTCATACTGTTGATACGTGCGGAATTCGCTGCGTGTATCCAAACTTAATGGGTACGAATAAGCATAATCATAAACGTCGTGTCTTCATTAGCGCGCACATGTGGCCTGCGCAACGAGTCTCGTTGCCAGCCGCCTCTATTTGTGAACTGACACCCTGACACTCCATTACCAAACTTAGCAAGCCGCTCTGCTCTGCACGGCGCTTGTTTTGCCAAATTGTAACACTTCATCCTGCATACAAAACGTGCACTCTTGATGTTAATATTTTATTTACAACACTCCCATTGTTTTCATATAAAAAATGAAAGCAATTTCCTATTCAATAACTCTGAGAGGAAATGGAAGAAGATTCTCGTGTAGCACGTTGTTGTTATACTGTATCGGCTCGTTTTGTAGGTGTTTGCTTTTAGAGTCCATTAGAGCATTAGGCGATTTCATTATGGGACGGATCAAAGAGGTTTCGTATTTATGGGAGTATACCTACAGTACATCCGCACACAGCCCGCAGGCACACCCTTTGGATAGTCTGTGGTAGTAGGGCTATCTTTTCTTGCACCATACTCGTACGTCCTTAATTATTTTAATTCAAAGAAGTTAATTTTAGAATGGAAGTTGTGTACTAAGACGTAACTTTTAAAATTTGGATATTATATTGAAATGAATGGTAACGGTAACGTGATGAATAATGTGTTTGTTTTTAACAGTTTTGTAAGGCGATAATATGCTCCAGTTGCAACCCTAGCTGCGTAGCGCAGCTCGACGAGGTCGTGTAGATAGAGCGGGGCTGTTTGATGTTGATTGATACCGTTAGGCGGGCGCGCATTGTCTCGCTTGGCCCGCCGCCGGGGGAACCCAAATGAGTGGAATTATTAAACCCGGAGCCCGTTCCGCGATGTGACGCTTTTTGTAATGAATGTACCGATCGCTCGCTCGGCAGCCGCGGCGCTCCAAAACGAGGGGGACTCGCCGCTCCTATCAATTGTACGCGCACAAACGGCCACGTTGCCCGCCAACCCTACATTGTACACGACGTTTTCCAATCGAAGTTTCCAAATTTTAATAATTGAAATTTCCTTTACTTTGACTGGTCAGTTGATCGAGTTTTTGATTTGAGCCGTCACTCCTTTAGGAAATGGTGAAAAAGCAATTATAGAATTTTTAATAACTAGAAGTGCTGACGACAGCTTACATGCAGTCAACGTAAAAGTTCAAACCGGGAGGGTTTTGTTGTTTTTGTGGGTTAATGAGTTTTTCCCAAAATACAGTATCAACTTTTGGTGAAGTCAATTTTGGAAATTCCGCAGCGTATAAATGTAACATATCACAAATATAAAAAATGTGTTATTGGACCTCGTTAACCGTCATTTTAAATTTTGAGATGACATCAGCACGAAGGGAGTAAGGAATTATTCACCGCGAGTCGCTGGCATTCAACGCGCGCAAGAAACGCGAAGGGTTCTAATTCGAGTTATTTATTTATGCAACTTTACTGAATGACTGCCGGCACAAGAGAAATATTCACCCGGTCCCACAGCTCGGGTAGGGGAGTGCTTTGTAAAAATGTCCTTTTACTGCGCTATTCATAATCGAGTGAACGCACTTACCCTTTGCCGGTGTAAAATAATGTTTATTTTGTACTTAAAGTTGAAACCAGCCCATGTGCCATTATTAAAAATGTCTTGTGCGATCTGTGAGAAAACGGTAGCGAAAGCTGTACGGGAGATAAGTATGCTCTGCAAACAGTACATTATGAAACTCGGATCACCTGCAACTTAAATGGGAATCGCATAAATAATACAGTAATATCAAACACTGTTACAAAAGACAAAAAACAAATAAAGCTACTTTTAGAGTTAATTTGGAAGACTTATATAACAATGTAAAGGTAATGCATAAAGCGAAATATTCAAATCTAAAAAACGAGAGGCAGAGTGCTGCGAGCTCGGTGCACGTTCATAATAAACGAGATTGAGTGGGGCGGTGTAGACGCAAATGAATGACGGTAACAGCGCGCGGCGTAATCAGCCAACAGGCGACGTGTTCGCATGTAAAAACAAATACATTTCACTCTGAAAATATTCATACGAATTTCTTTAGAACAACGTACACGTAAATGACATTCACATTTAACGACGTAGCGCTGTGGCACACTAACACAGACATGAGTATTTTTATATAGCAAAACAGATGATCCTGTTCTTCTAAATGAACTAAAATAAATAAAGCATTGCCTGTGTATGGAAAAAACCACCAAAACATCATTATGTGTACTTTGTGACATGGAATAAGAGTTTGTTGAGTTCTACGCAAGCTCTCGTCCTTTTCGGGACTAGGCCGCCCGCCATCGTGCACAGAATTCCGACTTCAAACGAAATAAGTTTATCGAGTAAGGCTCGTCGCGCCCCACGCGTCCTTCGCCTCGTTCGTCGTTCCCCGACAGCACAACTTTTCTGATGGAGAGCCCCGACCCTGCCTCCACCCGCCTATCTGCAAATTGCTATAGGGTTGACAAATAACACAAACCATCGATGTGTCGATATATTATTCTCGTAAAGTACTTTTACAACGCTTTAATTATGTATGCTGTCTTTATGTATGTATATGAAAGAAACATTATTGCAATGCTTTGGCAAGATTCTTAAGTTGATTACTTGACAACGATAACAAACGTTTTTTACTTTAGAGAACATTCAATTATTAAGTTACCATTTCTCGGCATTGCGTAGTTTGAAAACACTGCCGCATTAAATGTGATTTGCCAAACGGGAAGCTTTTCGTACAAAATTGCGAATAGTCGGGACTCGCGCACGGGCTCTTTTCGTTTTAATTGAATAAGCTGAGGGAGCTACATAATCCGGCCCTGGTACGCCCCGAGCGCCGAAATTCACGTAGGCTGTTTGTTTTTGTTCCCAAGCCTTGTTCCAACTGCTTTCCGTTTCAACTCTCTCTTGCTCTCGCTCTACTTTGCTCTCAGGTTCGCGTCGCCTGCTCGACGAAGCAAATGAATTTATCATTAAATTGCCTTAATTATCGACTATTTAGCCCGCCGTAGAAAACTTCGCAACTGTGACATAAAATACGTTTCAATCAATGATGTAAGAGCCAAAATGCACGTATAAAATTAACCAGACGAGAGAGACAATAATAAATTGTGCATTGATAATATTTTATCAGGACCGTATATTTTATTTAGTGATCAGACAGATGGATGGAGCGGCCGCATTCAACTTCGAATGTAATTATTGCGGTCCGATATCGATAATGGGCCGCGGACTGCTTTCAACGAAATGTGGTCGCCACTCATTTTCATAAGTTTTATTCATTTATTCTTGTTACAAAACATTCGTTTTTTTTATTATTTCATTGTTGTAATATTTAAAAACAAAGCCTTTGGTTAAGCCCGTATACTATATCATTAAGTCGTATCTAATAAAGATAATCGTGGTGCAAATAAATTAATTAACCAATTAATAGTTTTCAAATCAGACAAGAATATTTTATATTTATTGATTTAATATGCAAAACGTGAAGTATACGTACTATGAAAGGGTCCACAATAAAAAGATTTACCCCAATTACGGGGTCCGTAGGTCGGGACGAGCGGTTTAATCGCGCTGTAAAAACGCCGGATCGCCGGTAACGAGGTTGTAAAACCGGACCCGTTGCCCCGTAACCATACGAAATGCTTTTTGATAGGTACGCACTAAAAAGGCGACTGGTTTGCTTATTTTTTTTAAATTGTCTACCAATTCGTGTTACAACGCCTTAGGTATTTCAGTCCCACGACGAAGTGTTGTAGCTGCCGAGCCAAAAATATTTGGGACTATATAACGAGTTTCTTAAACAATGTCTAGTTTTTGAAATACCTACTTAGCTTATGGCTATCGAATGCCGCTTAGCTAAGTTCTCATATTAGTCGGAAAAAACACAATGTAAATATAATATTACTACAATTAAACAGATTTGGCCTGTTTTCCGCCAAGATATTGGCATTCTATTTTACAGTTCTTCCAATGTATGCACAAACGAGTCTTGTTCCACAATCTGCGATGAGATCGACCTTGGCCTGAGGTACACGGTCAGATTCGGCCAGGGACATGCGGACTCTCCTGGCTTTGCAATGCTTTATTACTTTTGGGGTCAGCTGTCCGCGGTATGAAAAATATGTATACGCTTGTACGAAATGACCTAAAACTATATGCAACCCCAAATTATCATCGATACCTAAAGTCATGGTCGATACATACGTGTTACATCTTAATACAAATATGAATTCCAAATACTCTCTTATATGTATTTATGATATACATAATACTTTTATGATATGTATTGAATACACAAAAATGTACAATAATATGGTATTTGCCCGCATTTA